GCTTCACTCCAAAAAAGCAATAAACTGCACCTACAAATGTGACAAGTAATCCCAAAAAATCGTAAATAACTACTCAAATAGTAATAAAGACGAGTTATAAACACATACGTCTTGAGGTCGAATCTTGATAATACATTCGGGCCAATTCATGAAGAATTTATCCTTCATGAATAATCTATTATTGATCTAACCGGGATGAACTTAGTCGAATTACACATAAATTGACCCGAATACCCCTCACCATTAAAAAAAAATGATAAATGAATTCAAAAGGTAAATGCAAACCAAAAGTTTATAAACTCTAGTAAAAAGATATTATATATACCCAAAAAAAATAGTAAATAGTATGATATTAAAATTATTTTTCGATTATGTAGTCAAACCCATCTCTAATCACACGGATTTTAGATTTTACACAATTACCATCAAGCCGGGCATATAACTAAGTTGAAAAAATCAAAATTGATATCTCGTCATAGTGACTCAACCATTACATCGTATTAAATTCTCTGTTCACCATTTTTTTTTTTTTGGTCAGAGAAAACAACCATGTGATGGGCGTGTGTGGCAGGTGTGCTGGAGACGTGTGGTGGCACATATCCCATCTTCTAGATTTTGAGTGCTCCTTTTGGTCGGACTTTCTTTTTTGTGCCGGTGCCATGAAGGTTTTTTTTTTTTTTTTCTTATCTACAATTATGTGAACCAAATTATCCAGGTTACGAAATATAATTTTTTGATATCTAATAAAATTTCAGCATGTGTTAATTTTTTTTTATTACTTTATCATTTCCTTACAATCATCGACTATAACCAACCAAATCAAAAACAACAATTTTTATAATCTCGTCAAATCTACTTCCTCACTCCATCTCCATGCATGTCACACTATGGTTTCGTAAGCTGAGATTTTGTCTCATAGGGAGAATTTTTTTTATTTTATTCAACAGTTAAAGATGTTCGGATTAACTTATATGCATCTCAATTAATTTTTTATTCATGAAGAATAAATCCATTATGACTTGATCTCAAGATATTATCAAAATTCAAACATAGGATATCTAAGTTTATAATTTATCCATATTACTACTTGAGTTACCTTTGATATTAGAAAAAAAAATTATTGAACAATACTACACTTATTACCTTTTTGCCTCACCTCAATATGGATTATTGTGTTAATGGATTTCATTGACTTTATTAAATTTTCAAAGGCTATAATCAAGTCACGTCAAAGTGGAGCAAGTCAAATGGTGCACAAATAAGGGCAGAGGCAAGAATTTATATGTGTCGAGGCATTAATTATAAGTTTAAAAATTTGTCTTCTTAAAGATTAAAGTTAAAGACAAATAAAATTTTTAAATCATATATAATACCTAAAATTTCATTGACAAAAGAGCCAAAAATCGATATACATGAAATACAATAACAAAAAAAATTTGCAAAACAAGATTCTAATTAGACCCTTTTACAAAAAAATGAGACTAACTATAGTCTTTCATAATTGACCACAACATGATTTCATATTTTGAAAGCGTTGCATGATAACGTCATTATCAATGCAATCAAAAATGTCCTTCCCTATGTATACAATCAAGTTTATTGTCATCCATTGATCGCTCATTCGATTATGCAATCGATTTTTTACAACCTTCATAGCCGAAATTGCTCTTTACTGTGATCAAAGAATAATAATGTGAACCCCAACGTGTATCACAAGCACGTGTAAGATTAGTTTCCTGATTTAGGTCTCGCCCACTTGAAAGTTCCTCATTATTGAGTAATTCAATAACTCTAGTCACTTATTTCTCCTTAAGAATATCTCTCTATTTACATGAGGCTCCCATAACATTCACAATATTAGCAACTAAGTTGTAAAGAGTCATGATTTGAATAAGATTATTTGCAATGACCACAAGAGCTAATTGCAATTGATGCGAAAATAATGGACATAATATATATATATACATTCTCTTTCATTGTAAGTGTCTTGAGCCATTGAACTCACCTCGCATAGTAGTAGCCCCATCATATCCTTGCCCACACAATGTTGACAAGCTCAACTCATGTCTAGGAAATAAATTTTCTACAGCTGCCTTAAGTGAGAGAGTACTAGTATTAGTAACATATTCAAAACCTAAAAATTGTTCAACTATATGTCCCTTCTTGCCCACAAGTCGCAACAGAACAGTCATTTGCTCATTTGTTGATATGTCACGTGATTCATCAATAAAAACAAAAAACAAAATGCATCACGAAGACAGATCACAACAGCATTACACGTTTCAACAGAAGCTGCATTTACAATTTCTTTTTGAATTTCAGGCGAAGTCAACTTGAGATTCTCAAGAGCATTTTTTGGTAAGAAATTTTAATGATTCATGTATGAAATTTAGAACACCTAAATTGTAAGATTTAGATCATTTAGGTTTATAACATACACGTATGAGTCATGCTATTTGATCTCTGGATTTCTTTCATGAAATGGAAAGGTCTTCCTCTCCTTCTTCAAAACAATAGGCAGCTTTCAATGGGACAAGCCAAATTAAAGTTTTGAAGTGAAGAGAGGACCTAGTCTGCTATTTATAATAAAATCTAATGGGCTATTCCATTACAGGCCACAATTAGATTAAGGACTATATTTAACCGCTTCAACCACATCAATTAAAAGATGTACATAAACCCATCAAAATAGATCACTTCATAATATTGGCTCATCTCATTGGACCATAAATTCAACTATTTTTTCACAAACTAAAAATTAACTATCAATTAATAGAAGTCCAATATAAGAAAAATTTTAACATTCTCCCACTTGGACAACATTAATTGTAGTCATTTAAAAATAAAATAAAATTTATATATATATATATATTTTTTTTTTTTTTGAAAAGTGACTCTCGAGCTAATCAAACAAAACTCAATGTGGCCACAATAAAAATAATATGGTCCTGAGACAATATCTTAAACACGACTCAGTCCAATAAAATTATTATTTTCGAACCATGACGGCCTTTACATTCTTTATTAACATATGACCAATCCATGATTACAAAAAATAATAATTCTATTGACATGGATCAAGATGTGATAGTGTAGTAAGAAAATAACATTTCAATATGTGATCTAGTAAACATGTTATTTTCATTGTGAGTCCTCCAAATGATTTTTCTTTAACAACATTTTTCAATAATAAGTTAGAGAAATTCATTAGTTTTAAAAATAAGTTAGTATGTCTTCAAACTTAAAATCACAAGATTTTCTCAAATGGTATAATCAGAGACATATTCAATTGACAAAACGGTCATACTTAAAGACATACACCAAATCTTAAGATTTTGTATAAAATGACATGTCATAAATGTGTACACATATAACATAGCAAGAATATCATGCTAATAATAAGGATAATCATTAAATATTTATTATTCATCAAATAGATGTATCTCAATCATAATGAGTATCAAATATCACATATATAATTAAATCAATACTAAAGTTCATAGCACATAAATAAACTTCCATTAACCAAGTACATCAAAAGACCCCAAAATGCTCATGTTGTCAACATATTTTTTAAAAGTTACAAGTCTCAGTCCCTTGGTTAAAAAATCAGTAAGCATTGATTCTATATCAATTTGTTTGATCACAATGTCATCTTTTTTTACAAGATCTCTAACAGAAAGATATTTAATTTTCATATGTTTAAACCCACTAAAATATTTGTTTTTCTTTGATTATCACAATAAATTATTAGTGATTTAGAGATGGAATCAACAATCATAAGTTCTGAAATAAAATTCTTTAATTATATAACTTGTGTTGCAGCTCTATAACAAACTACAAATTCAGCTTGCACAGTGGAAGAAACTGTGAGAGTTTGTTTAACACTCTTCCATGATATTGTTTCTCCAGCTAAAATGAAAATATATCTTGAAGTGAATTTTAAATCATCCTAACACCTAGCAAAATCTAAATCTAAATAACCAATCACCTCAAGATTATCAACTCTCCTATAAACAAGCATGTAATTTTTTGTTTTTTACAAGTATCTCATAACTTTCTTAGCTGTCACCCAATGATCTAATCCTAGTTTAAAAAGTTATCTGTCAAGAACACTAGCTATAAAAGCAATGTTAGGCCTGGTACAAATCTGTATATACATTAAACTGTCAACATCACTCGCATAAGGTATATTATTTATAAACTCTTCCTCAAGATCATTTTAGGGGCATTCTCTTAAACTAAATTTATCACCGTTCACTACAGGTACATCTCCAAATTTACAATTATACATATTAAATCTTTCAAGTAAACGATCTATATATGCCCTTTGAGAAAGTCTCAATAATCCATGACTCCTATCCCGATGAATCTTAATGCCTAACACAAAATATGATTCTCCAAGATCTTTTATGTCAAATGTTTTGCACAACAATTGTTTACTCTCATAAAATAAGCTCAAATCATTATTTGCAAGCAAAATATCATCAACATAAAGAACAAGAAAAATAAATTTGCTCCCACTAGTCTTAAGATATATGCATTGATCCATCTTGTTCTCAACAAAATTAAGAGAACTTACTATCTCATCTTTCATAGCACCTACTCACATATCAGACTAAGGACAAATAATAACATCACGGCATGTTACTTGATCAATAATATCACCAATATCATAATCACTTTCTTCAAGATATCTATAATATAAAACAGGACGACTTCAACAAGCTGATCATACGATCTTAATTCATTTCATCCAACGGCCCACAATCATCCACAATATCATCATTTTTCCTCCCAAGATCATCATATTTTACCCACAATATTTTTCAAAATTCTGACTTCTCAATCAATATTCAGTCACCTCACCTGGTCTTTTTTGTTTTCCCCCTCCCTTCTGTCAGATGAGTCATGCCTCTCCAGCTACATCTTCTGTTTCTTTTTTTTCCCTCCCTCTCACTCATTCAAAATTCTGACCTATCTCACACTCTCTCTCTCTCTTACGCTCCCATCGACACCACTAGAACCATCGCTTGGATATTTTTTATTGTCCTAAATCGTAGAACAGTCCAGAAGAAGGCACTCCAGGCGACTCCGGTGAACTGCGACTGCGATCGATCAACCACTGCGATCGATCGTCCACTGCGAACAGACGAACTCAAGCAAGATGTTCTTGATTTGGGTTTAACCTGGAAAGATTTTAAATTTAATATTCAGTTTTGTTATGGGCTGTGTGATTTTCTTTTAAAGTCATTGTTTATAGAGTGGTTTGATTTTCTTTGTTCACCTCCATATATTCTTGTGATGTTTTCCCTGCACAGCGCACACAAACAAACCCAGCACACCCACACCCAACACAGACCCAGCACCCAACACAAACAAAGCCACACACTTTGGACACCAAGTGTTTGTTGGAATGACCAACAAAAAATTTGTTGTTATTATTATTATTATTATTATGAATTTCTTGTGTCTGCTCTGTCAACATTAGTTTGATTCAATGTGAACTGGATGCTTGATGATCCTCTCAGTAAATCACATCTTGGAGGGTTCTGAACCAAAATGTCACTCAAGAAATGCCATTTTTTTTTGGTTCTACTTGCTTCCTGATCTTGGCCATTTTTTTGATTATGCTAACATTGGATGTTTTATGACCCTTTGGTTCTGGTTGGCACTCAAGTTAATTGACCTGACATTCAAATAATTGCTTGACGCAGACAAGCTAAACTGAAGCAAACCGTTTGTTTGCCCTTTCTTGGGCTGATTTCGTTTGATGCTCTACAAGCTAAACTGAAGCAAACCGTTTGAGTTTTAGTTTGTTAGACTTTGCTAGGTTGTTATATTTGTGTCTACTCTTTTATGGCTATGCATTGAGTTACTGATTAGAGGAGCTATTTGTTTTCCCTTTCCTGGTCTGACATATCATCACAAACATTTCTTCATAGTTCATCAGTTTCCGGAAGTTGTCCATCATTATGTGGTCTTGACCACTTGTTGCAGTATGTACACTAGGTTTTTCATTTATATTTATATTCGAGATGAAGTGAAACTTTGAGATGTGTTTTTTTTCCTTGCATGGAAAAAGTGCATATAACGTGATCACTTTTAGTTAGAATGCATGTAGAATTCTAAATGGATCTTCTACGGTATGTCCTTTAAGTGCATCTCTAAGTCTTTGGTTTCCATTTAAAAAATTGTTCCATTACATATTTTTTCACAGGTCAGATCCCACGGAAAATGATAGTGTAGAGGGTTTGAGACCAAATGCTAGAGGGCCTGGTCTGCATGCTAAATCTCTGCGATATATGTAAAACGGATCTCTATTTCTTTTTTTTTTTTTATCAATTCTCAATAATTTATTGCTACGTACAGGCAATAATCCACATTTTTTCATATTCAACATGCTAACTATCAGTTATAGAGTTTATAGGGTCAATGTACAAACTTCTTATAAATGGAATATTCTTTCCTTGTGTTGACATACTCTTGTGGCCTTAACTTTGTTCTGTAACTCTATCTCATTACTTGCAGTCTGCTCGGGTTACGGACTTCTGTAAGAAAAACAAATTACAACTATAAGAGCACATGAATGAGTTATGGATAATGGTATAATGTGTTTGAAATTATTTTTTGGCGTATAATGTGTTGAAATTATGAATTTCTGGTGTACCTATTTTAATTGATTCTTTCACTAAATTTTTATTGATTTACACTTTGTTTGATTTTTGCAATTTTATGTTGTATTACATTTGCGCCTCTGCAATGGATTATTGGAATTAGTATGTGATTAGTATTATTGGAAGGTAGGAATTAAACAATACACTGTTCCAATAGTTTTTAAACTTTCAGAAATCTAAGACATTTTATATTGGTTCTTGAAAAGTAATCACCTCACTTTCATTTTCTGCATATGGAGTCATAACTCGCTTTGCATTATACTATGCAGTGGAAGCACCATAGTTGGCGTCGGTTCCCCAGACCCCCCACAATTTGTCTGTGATGATAGTGAATACGAAGATGTCTTTGTGTCAGGTAAGCAACAAGTAACCTGTCCAGGTTTTTTGTCTGGTAAGCCCAGGTTATTCATCTTTCTACATCTTAAAAAGGATAAGTTTTAAATACTTGTCAAATCATTATCTGTCTATTTATTCCTTGCTTATCAAATAATAGTTTGATATGTGTCTATTTCTTGTTTTATTTTTGTGGGTAGTTACCGTCTTACCAATTTTTTAGGGGGAATTTAACCCATTGTAAAGAACAAAATGACCCATGTTTTGATTTCTTTGATACTTGCAGGGAATTGCTTGGATTGGTGGGTTAAAGGCCCTAAATTTCTTCACATTTGTGAATCATCTTTGTAGGTAATTTTTTTTTTATTATTATTTTTTATGTTTGGTACAATTCATGTTGTGAATAGTCTTTTGTCGAACCAGTTAATCGAATTCTATTTTTCTATTTTATGTTTTTCCTTTTCTAACATTGTACTATTGCACATTTTATGTGATATATGTTAGGTTCGCATTAAATGTAGTGTTAAATCAGTAGTAGGTAATCCTATTGCTTAGGGCAAGAAACAAACATATATATTGTCACATGTGCTCAAGTTGTTATGAATGTGAAAACTAATAATAAGAAAAAGAAGCAAGAGAAGATGAAGAGTGACCAATTTTTTAATAGAATTCAATTCGTTCATTTAGATTGTTGATATTGATTAGGTTTCACAAAAATTTACCAAATAATGATTAGTAAGATAGTGGATTGTGGCGTGATGGTGATTGTTGTTGTAGTGGTTAATGGGGTTATAGTAAGATACGACTCTGGCATGATGGTGAGTCCTATATTGGATTGTGTTTTCTTCGAATACATGGTTTTAACAAAAATAACAAATTTTTTTAATAGAGATTGTTAGTACACAGGATTATCTTTTTGAGGATAACTTCTTCACATTCTTTCTATTCAATAGGGATTTTTTAGTGTCTTTTTCCACTCCATGTTTAAGATTGTATTGCAATTCTTATATGTTAATATTTGCAATTCTGTAGGTATGTGTGGGTGGATTGTTGGGTTGGTTGAATGAGTGGTACATAGATGGTCTAACAACATAAATGGTAGTGTATATAGAAGTTAAATGATCCACTTAAGTGTACTTTCTTTTGTTGGTTTTTACTATGCATGATTCTTTCAATCCTTTTATCGGGTTTTATTAGATGGGCACATCTTTGCAATTTTCTTTTTCAGTAGTGCACACACAAAACAAGCCTTACAACCAACAAATGGAGCTCCAGCTCCTTTGGCAACATGCACAACATCTCTTATTTTTCTAGGCAGGAACTCTTATTTTTCTTCTCTGTTTTTTATTAGTAATTTTTGTGGGTTTGTCCTCTCCTATGTGCAGTAGCTCTAAAGTTTGTTTTTAAATTCAATTTTTATCCCAGCAAACTAACTTTTTAAAGCTAGCCAGTATACAACTTTTATCTTGTGTGGTCTTTTTTTCTACCACTACTCTTTAGTTTTTCCAAGTAGTTGCTCAGCTTTTTTTAATGAGTTTATTTGGGCTTAATTTGCAGACCTAATATATTAATTTTATTTATTGTGACAATTGGATTAGCAACAAGTTCCAATGTTTGATAAGATCTACTATCAATCCAACAACTATAGTGGTCGAGTTAAATTAAGTCTAAATAGCATTGGTTTTTAATACCAACCGAGTCTCCCTTTTACACCAATCAGATCTCCCAATTAGCTGCCCTTTCATATTTTACTAAAGCCACAAACCTGTCACTTGCTGACTCTTTGCAACCACTAAAATTCACTCAATTACATAAAATGTAAGGACTCAACAAACCCATGTGCTCAGGTGTTGCTACTAAGGACTACACTTATAACAATTACATAAAATGTATCTTGTAAGCCATTTTTCTTTTGTTGATGCTCATTTTTTATGTTGGAATTATGTGGTTACGTAGTGCCTTTTGGCATGAGTATTTACTACCGAGCACACGGGTTTAGATGTAGGAGGAATGGTATTTTTATGATTAATTGTATTTTAATTGGGTGTTTAATTTGGCTGTATTTTAATTAAGTGTTTAGTTTGGTTGTCTTTTAAATTGGGTGTTGAATATAGTTTGTGAAATTTCAATTTGAATTTTTAGTATCTTGATTTGATGAATGTTACTTTGTATGAAATAGGTTTTTATAGGGTTTTGATTAATTATAGAGATTGTATGTCAATCTGTATGAATTAGAGGCTTATTGTGTGTTAATTGATAGAGATTGAATGTCAAGTAGTATGAAATAGAGGCTATGATGTGGCTTTAGCAATTTTACAACAAAATAAATGTGTATTTAACGAATATTTTTAATTTTTTGATTTACTATGTTTCTTATATTTGTAGCTATCATAGTGTACTAACTACCACTGCAAACTCTCAACATTGAAAAATGAAAGATCTCACCATTTTTTGTCATGTGAGTTTAAACATCTTCTATTTTTTTTTTCGACACCGCAAAATATTCACATATTTATTTCACTTTATTTTCACACATCTTTTTACAGATTGATGACGACTTAGTGCAAACCGTAAGATGAGTTTCATTTCACTCATATTCTTAATAATTTTTTCTCTTATAGTTTGTGTTCATTTACCTGTTAAATGCATATTCATGTACAAGTTCAATTGCTCAAGAAAAATAATGTTGGTGTTGTGATTCGCGACGAACATGAACTCAATTGCATCCTCATTTCTGATGTAGTGTCATGACACATCAGTTTGTTTATAGATTAGACTCTTTTTTTTCCTACATAATGATTTCACTTATCTATGCTTACTATCCAAAAGGCAAAGGAAAGAGCAGTTGTAACTGCAAATGCAAAGTGTAAAGGAAAAGAAATAACAACCTCTTCTGACAAGGAAAAGATAAGTATTTTGTGCCAAGTGGTATTATATTGCTAACATCTTAACTGTGTTATTTTATTGATCAAATGTTTTATTTATGTTATTTCATCTATAGAATTGGGATGAAGCACTGCAGGAGTTAAAAAGACTAAATGCAATCCATCTTTTTCTGTGGGGTTGTTTGAATAAGGCAACTAAATTTATTTTTTATTTTTTATTTTTTTTTCAAGTTTATAATTTTAAAATTTATGTCGTGTACTAAATTTGACTTTTTATAAATGCTAGATTGTTGTACATTCTCCAAGTTGAATGCTGCGAATTTGGATTGATACAATTACATTCAAGACTGTGATAGAGAAACTATTTTTACAATGACGTGCAGATAAATGACTCATTT